TATAGTACTTAAACGAACACAGAATACAAGAGGAATAAAAAAAAAAAATGATTAAATCGCTGAATAGAATTCTATTAATAGAATAAAATCTCTTTTACAAAAATATTTCCATGAGTTTCAAATTCTGAAAATATTATACAACTCGGGAATCCCATAAGTTAAGGACCCCTAAACCAAAATCTTATAAACCACCAGTTTATACAAAACATTTAACAATAATTAACTATACTAATTAAAGGTAAACAAGATGAGTAGATGAATGACAGTCTCCCAGCTGCGGATCCTCAACCTTGAGACTGGAACTTCTAATAACCTGAAAAATAAATCGTGGGCTAGACCCACGAGCAAGTTCCCTCTACCAAGCCTCTGAAAACCAATAAATAAAGCATCTCTAACCAAAATCATCATAATTAAAGTTTTAACCTTTAATATAAGTATATAAAAACTTTTATATAAAACGGTAATCCTATCAATTAATAGGTTCACTAATTTGATTAAACCATTCACCAACGATTAATTCTTAATCATACCTAGACCAAAACCATCATTTATAAGTATTTAAATCACACAACTAGGTTTTGACAAATCATCCATGTCACCATCAGTAATATTTTGTTAACATGTCTAAAATAATATACTATCCTGAAAATATTAGACTATTCTAATTTAAGAATATCTAATTAATCATAATTCAACCTATACATGCAGTACCCATAGATGATATATTTTAATCATCTAACACATAGCAATAATTGAACCTTGGCAAATCAACCATGCCATTAAAAATATATTTATTTATATATTGACAATTCAACCATGCCTCCTTTAAGTATATTTATTTATACATTTGGCAATTTAACCATGCCTCTTTTAAATATATTTATTTATACATGTGGCAATTCAACCATGCCTCCTCTAAGTATATATACTTATATTAATAACCTAGCAACTCATCCATGCTTCCGATGTATATATTTTTATTCATACAAATACCTAGGCAATATAATTACGCCTATGACAACTCATCCATGTACAAATTGTAAGTTTAACAATAACTAATTTATACATAGATATCCCCTATTGATTATAAGCACATACCTAACTTAATAACCAGTCTATCCAAATATATCAAATAAGAAAGAATAATACTAATAATCTTAATTCACATACATATATATACACATATTTAATATAATATATATGTGTATAATCTTTCCCTAATAACCCTTGGTTATTTAATATATATATATATATATATATATATATATATATATATATATACATCCTTCCTTCCTTACTAATCATAACTTAATAAAATCCCTTTTATACACACATATAGGTAAATATATATGTACTTATATATACATATATACACATCCTTCCATAACAATATAATAAATTATTATATTTACTCAAAAGAAATGCTACTAATCCTCGTAGTAACACTCTACGGTTTTCAGAATACCAAGAACACCTCCTCTAGTGGTTGTTTTCAACCCCAATAAGCTTAAAACATATTCTGAAAATTCACCGGACCCTACAGGAACTTTACGGAACCTCAAACTCCCTTGAACGCGCCTCCACGCGCCGTCACACGCTCCTCCAACTTATGCACGCGCCTCCACGCGCTTCTATTAGTTGGCAGGCGCGTTCAGGAGCTTCCACGCGCCCTCACGCGCCTGATCCACTCTCGGCGCGTGTGTGGCTGCCTCTGATTGGTTGCCCTTTACGCTCTGGTGTACTCGCCCACACTAGATCAATCTTCTATTGGTCAAACCTCATCCACGACCTTAATGCATAAGCGCATCAAATCTCTATGCTCCGCAAAGCACTGGATCATCCTTCACTCATCCACTCCACCCAACGGTCCAGATCAGCGGGTGCACCATATTATCATGCGCCGCACCGCATCCAATTATCTGCCACTTCCTCAAATCATCTCAGCCCTTCATGGTCCGCGCGCACAGTAATACAATGAGCCGCGCCGCACCAGATTAAGACCCTATGTTAATGCGCCGATTTGAAGCCTCCAGTGTATACAATGTATATATATATATATATAATACACATAAATAATTATATATATAATTTCCAAAATATCAGAAAAATATAAATAAAATCCAGAAAAATTTCCAGAAATCCTAGAAAAATTCCAGAAATTATAATTAACCCTCTTGGTTCACAAATCAAACCTATACTTAATTTTAAACAATATGCACACCTATATACATAATTAAAATCCAACGAATCCACAAATTAAATATAATAATTTATGTTTGTTTTTTTTTTTTTCGATCTAACATGATTTAATTAATGACTTTAAACTAAATTCTAGCACCCAAGGTGATAAATTTATGGGTCCTAAGAGGAGAGTTAGAGAGAACTTGCCTGAAGATTTCGAAACGAAATCGAAGCTTTAACCTTTGATTGTCTCTTCCAATTTCGGTATCCGCTTTCTCAGATCCGGCCTACTCCTTGTCCGTTCTCTCTTCTTCTTCCCTCTTTGTCTCTTTTATTTTTCTAACATGAAAACTTCTTAACCCTAAACCTTATGTGTATATTTATACACATTAAACCCTAAATCCTATTCCTAGTAGGATTACAAAATAAAATAATAAACTAATATTATTTAAATAATATAATATATATATATATATATATATATATATATATATTACTTATGCATATATATATCTCCCATAATTAACCATCGGTTAATTAAATCCTAAATCCTATATATATATATCCATAAACCTATATCCTTCTGTAACACTTATCAATTAATTATATTTATATATAATTAAATTAATAAAAATGATTATTTAAATAATCAAATACCCATTGGCCTTTATTAATTAACCCATCAAGGCTTGATCCAAGCCCAAGACCATATCCTTTGGTCCAACATTCCTTAAGCCCAAACCAATTAATCTAAATAAATAAAATAATTAAATAAATACTTAAATTAAAATACTAATTACATAAAACACATAAACAAATAAGAATTTACAACTAAGTCACATCATATCAATACGCCACAATTCAATCAATAATTAAATACACACACATCAATCATCATATCAATTCAATAAATATATAATCACAAAATAAAATCTAACTAAAATGAGACAATTAATCTAAACACTCAATTAAATAAAATAAAATTCATTAATCCCAATTAATAAATCTTTTAAATTATCGAGGTATTACATCACACCCGCTCACGACACACCCGCCCACATGGTCATCACAATATAAGAACTCAATATCTATATATAATCATGGTCAAAACATTATATACAACATAAATCCCCCAAAACTACAAAATACTAAGTTTAGGAAGCAAGCAAAGAGGCTACCTTTAGCCCCAAGAGAAAGATCTAGCCACTCATGATTGTTGTCATCCAGCCCTCAAGGGCTTTGTTCAATGTAGGCACCATCTTCTTCCTTTTGCTTTGGTCTCCAAAAATCCTAATCTAGATAGAGAAAATATCTAAAACTATCTCTAAAGCTTCAACAAAAGTTGTGTAAAAATTGTAAAAAAAACTTGGAACTCTATACAATTGGTTCAATTACAATTAAATATAAACCTCTTTGAGTAGGCAATAAGTCAGAAAATAGGCTTTTATTGGTGCAAACTCGCAGTTACAAAAGTTGGTGGAGTTCGGGCGTGCTCGGGAATTAAACAGCTCACTGCTAGCAGGGGCTTCGATGGATCGAAGCTTACTTCAATCGATCGAAGATGACATGGCGAAAATATTTTTGACGACCTTATCCACTAAGCTGACACCACCTTCTTTTCGATCGATTGTAGATCTCTTCGATCGATCGGGAAATCCTTTGATCGATCGAAGACTGTCCAGTGCAAATTCTTTTGAATTTTCTTCTTGACTCCAAAAAGGAGCTAAAAGGTTCTTTTTAGCCCGTGTGAACCTTATTAACCTGAAATAGACCAAAATGCAAATTAAAACCAAAATGAGAAAGTAAGATAGATGAATGGACGAAAATACCCTAACTTAGGTGCTAAAATGTATCACATTTGAGTACTTATCATAATGTCTTTTAAAAAATTATTTATACAATATTGTTTATGGAAAAATATTGGTCATGCAAGTAAATGGTGTTTGCTTTTTTAATTCATTATTGAATTTGTGATACTTGTTTACTACAAATTAATTTTTTTTAGAACTGAATAAATTAATTCTCTAATTATCTCGGTAAGCCTTTAGGAAGTTAGGCTCCATTTGGTATTTCTCCATTTATGGTTGAATATAACCGTTCTTACATTGAATGTGAATAATGTTCAAATGGATTAGTCTCGACCAATGGATTTAGGTAAACCCATCAACATAAAGTTAGCTATAATCAGCTCTAAATGTACTGAATTTATATATAGTTATATTTTTAATTTTTTTACTTTAATTATTTATACGCATTTTAATTGTCTATACAAATTGAAATCAAAACATTATTGTATTGTATGCATTTGTGTAAATTTTGATCGAATAGATTGAGTTCATTTCGGAGCTTATAGTTCATATATTTTATGATAGTAGTTTTTAAGGATTTAAGTGTGTTTCAATTTGATTTTAATATTTGTAAAATAAAATATTTTTTTAGTGTATGGTGTGAATAAGATTTAATCCCATTGCATTTGTTATTTATAGTTCAAATCTTTTATATAATCAGATTGAATAAGTTAGTTATGATTAGAATATACATATGTTTGTATTTATTATTATTATTATTATTATAATTATTTTGTATTTACTTTAATTATTTATACGAATTGAAATCCTAGTATATCATTGTATTACATGGGTTTGTGTAAATTATGATTGTATAAATTGAATTCAATTTTTATTTTATACTTCAAATAATTGGTAATGATGTTTGTTTAAGGATTTAAGTATATTTCAATTTGATTTTAGTACGTGCAAAAAAAAAAATATACATATAATTAATTCACCACGTACAATTTTATAAAAGTGTAGCGAATTTCTAAAAGTGTATAGAGTTTCTTAACAATTTTGGTTGAAGCCGCCTTTCGCCGCCGCATCTCCATCGTTTTCGGCAGCGAGCTCTTGGCCAAAGGGACGAGCTCTCCTCCTTCTTCTCTCGGTTTCCTCTCATTTCAGAATCTCTTTTCTCTTGTTCTCCAGCCGACTTAGGTCAAGGAGAACTGCCAGCAAGCTCTGCAAATTCCGAAGATACTCCGGCGATGTTCCAGTCACCATTTCTGGCCACGGCTATTTCTATCATCTCTCTCCTTAATTCCGGTATGTCAGCCTTTTATTTTCATTTTGATTTTTGATTTTTAGTTTTATTATATAGTTCAATTGTGCATATATTTTTGCAAATCTTGTTTAACAAAAATTGCAAAACCAAAAACAAAATAAAAAAATGAAAAATTGAAAAAACAGATTGTTGGGACTTTAATTGAAAGTTGAAAATGTAACCTTGGAACTTGTTTGTGATGCACTATGATGTGGAAATTGTGAAGTTGGGCTGTGATGGTTTGATGTTGAAAAGGAGAAGGGGCATTTTCATTTATGGAATTTGGGATTGATATGTAAAAGGAGAATGGGCTGAAAACTTGGTTTATTGTTGTTGGTTTGTTGTTGAAAGGAGAATGGGATTTAAATGCATTGGATTTATTATTGTGGTTATTGAAAATGGATTGTGCTTAGATATATACATGTATACATCTTTGCTGAACTTATGTGGCTTATAATAGAAACTAAATGCACGTATACCAATTTTGGGTTGGAAATTGTATACATCCCGTGATGTTGAAATTTTTGGGAAAGTATGCCATTTTGAAATGTTGAATGCGATGCTACCATTTTTCCAATTGAGTTGTCAAAATGTGCATATGTTGTGAGTTTTTGAAATTGAAAAAGATATAACACTTGTATTATAGTTTTAAAGTTTTAAATGGAAGTTTGTTGGGAAGAATTGGATTTTTGTGTTTTGAAGCATGAAATTGAATTTTGAAATGTTAAATTGTGATTGGAATTTTGAAATTGTTTAGGGAAATACTTTGTGAAGCATGAATTGTTTGAAATGGAAATTGGAAATGACCTTTGAATTGTTTAAAATCAAAATTGAATTGTTGAATTGTAAGTTGAAATGAGATTGCTTGAAACTTGAAAAATTTATTGAAAAATGTTTGATGTGCATTCTTTGGAATTGAAAATTTGTGAGCATGCTCCCATTTTATTTCTTTGAAATGTTGGAAATTTCATTTGTTAACTAGTTGTTGATTTTCAAAAGTTGAAAATGAGTTTTTGGACTTTGATTTGAAATTTAAAGTTGAGTTTTTAGATTCCTTCAATTGTTGAGTGTTTCAATGCATGATTCTTGTGAGAATGCCTATTTACAATGTATGTAAGCTTTAAAACCCAAAGTTTCCAAAAATTTTAATTTTGAACCCAAGTGTTGAAATTTCCAAAGTTGTCCAAAATGTCCTTAAATGAGTTGAACTTGTTTCATTTGCTCTATTCTTCATCCATATGCATGTTTCAAATGATATTGAGTTTGTTCTTGTTCAATTCTTGATTCTTGCCATGTGAGGGAGTCTCTTTGATATCTTTTGACCAAATCATTGAGAACTTTAAATTTTCTTGAAAAATGTGATGAAATGTCAACTTGAACCCAACTTTTTGAAGTCAAATGTTGTGATGTTGCATAATAAGCTTGAAATTGGCCTAGTGTGATTTTTCTTGGAATAAGTGTTGTGCTTTTGGAATAAGTTGCAAGTTTCTTTGCTTGTATATACTCTTGTCAATAATTGCACACACCTTGTTCACATTGTTGGTTTTTTAAGCATGCTTGCATCCTTGTTGCAATATGTTTTAAGTTCAAATTGCACTTTTAGGATATCATTTTCATTCTTTGGCCTTAGTACACACTTTGAGGTGTTAAATTGAACTTTGAAATGCCATTTGAAATAAGTTTGGGGGGAATGTTGTTTTGAACATGAAATGCCATGTTACTTGCCTTATATCTTTGTGATTCATTCTTGAAAAACGTGTAAGGGCTTATGACCAAGGTTCTTAACGGGTCATTGCTTTTGATCCAAAAAAGGGTAAGATTCTTATCCTTCCCATTTTATACCATTGTTTGCTTCTATATTGCATAGAAGGATGTTGCGAGCCAAAAGCGATTATTTTTGTTCTCTATATTGCTTAGAGGGGGTCACGAGCCATAAGTGACTATAGGTTGTTGATTTTGTGATAATGGAGTACGAGATATTTGTGAATGGAGTTTGGTTTGATAATTGCGCATTATCTCTTAAATGCTTCATAGGTTGCATACCATGTTTAGCGTTCATCTTTGAACTTGTTCATCACAACATGCTTAGGATAGAAGTGTTTGCAACCGTGCATTCCACTTAGTCTCTATTTCATGATGTACATGCTTTTTGAGTTCTAGATAGACATTTGTCATGACTTGTTACCTCAATGTCACCATGATTGCTCCATTGGTCTTAAATGTTGAATTTGTAGACATTCTTGCTTAAGAAATGATACAATGTCATCCTAGGGTTTACTTGGCTTAAAATTGCAAAATCTTCTTGAGTTTTAGGTTTGTGAATGCACGTTGCATGTTTTATGCACATCATATCTTATACTTGTCATTTTGGTCTCATTCTTACATAAATGCTTTCAAAAGTGACTTTATCTGCCCTCTTTCTTACCATTGCACCATATTGCATGTTTGAGATTGTTTATTGTGCCATAATCCATTCTTTGTCTGTTAAAGCATATTTTAGTTCCAAAATGTCAGAAAATGGTTTGAATGCAATTCTTGAAGCTTTTTTGATAAATTCTTGCACAATCATGTTCATCTATGTTTATTCTCTGTTTCTAGTTTATTCAGGCATGCTTTGTGTTTCAACTCAGATACTTACCTCATTTCTATACTTGTGCATTGATTTCTATATGTTGATTTTCCAGATGCAGCGGAAGAAGGCAATTACTAGGAAAAGAGTAGCACCGCCTTGACAGCTACCTCCTTCTCCAAAGGAGTAGCCTTCCTCTTCATTTGAGGCTGAGGCGACTGTATCATCTTCTACGTCTTCTTCCAGTGCATCATCTATGGACGCACAGGGCCCCATTGATAGAGCAGTTCCTGATCCGTATTTTTCAAAGAGAGATCAGGAGCTTGAGCATACTTTTGAGATATATTTCTTTGCCCAGTCAGAGCAGACTAAGTGGGCCTAGGATGAGATGAAATGGTGAGGCATTGCTGATATTCATACGCCGATCAGCGGCACGGTTTATCCCGTGGTTGCATTATTCTACCAGCACCTCCGGCGAGATGAGGATGACCCATAGATCTTTCATACTATTATAGATGGGCAGGGCATTGTCATTTTTACTATCTTCGTAGAGATAGCCTCCCGATGCCCCTACATGTCTCCAGTGGTCACAGAGACTGAGAAGCCCTTATATCCTATTATTACAGAGTATCCTTCAGAGATGGATATAGTTGTTTCTTTCTCTCCTCAAACAGCTTATTTAGGCAACCCCCATGCCGAGCGAGTGGACATTCCATCCAGATTATGGTTCATCGACACAGTGCTCTTCCGCAATGCTTTTCCATCTAGGCATAATACTTAGAGGTGGGAGGGGATTCTGAAAGCCATGTATAGTTTTAATCAGGGATGTTGGGTGTCAATTCCTTCTCTTATCTGGGAGATTATTCACAAGTACTGGGAGAACTTGGTGTTTAAGCGGAGTGAGAAAACAAAGTCCTGGTCATTACCCATTGGCCACTTAATCACACAGATTATAAAGAACCAGGGCTTTCAAATTGGCCCAGCAGAGGAGTTAGAGCCTGCCATTAAGATGAAAAAAAGGAAGTATGGTGCTACTCAGTGGAAAAGAAGCTACAATGCCTGTCAGACCAATATGAAAAGGGCTATGTTGAAGAGGCTTCAGACTGTAAATTCATAGGAAGGTTCACCTACCTTTTCCAGGCCCAGATCTAGACAGCGCACTACTTCCAGTACATCCCATTATCCTCCCACAATATCCCATTTCCAGATGAGCACCTCTTCAGCTCCACCTTTAGCAGCTCAGACAGGCCATCCTCTCAGCATGCTAGCTCTGAGTCTAGTTTCCGAGGCGATATTACACAGCTCCATTCTGATCTCAGATCATTTAATCCTTGGATGTTTTAGCGAGTTGCTAATGTTGAGAAAGGTATTACCGATGCTAGGCGAGACATTGCATTCCTCAGGGATAATGTTGCACAGATCCGTTCAGAGATAACCAGTTTTCGAGGTGAGGTCACCTACATGCTTCATCACATCACTGATCTGCTTGAACCAGATGTTGTTCCATGATTTCACTCTCTCTCTTACTTATTACCTGCTCCTGACATTATCTGATACTTTTTGATACATTACTATTTTGGGGATATTTTTACTGTTTTGTTATATTCTACTTGGATTTTTGGATCATTGTTTTGGATATTGGTTTTAGATTTACTTTCAGATATTGATTTTGGATTTGGATATATTTTGACTCAGTTTTGGATATTTTGAGCTTGATATTGTTATATGCCATGTTGATTATACCCATTCAGTCCATTCTCCATTCATATTCTCTTATTTTTATCATTTAATGCATATGCTTTGATAGTTGCTAGTGTGAACATTTTTGGACAAGTTTTTGGAATCTAAGTTTGGGGCTATGCCTTCCAATGCTAAGCTTTCCATTATCGGGTTCTGTATGCTATGCCCATTTGGTATACTCTTTCCACTATCTATTGCTTTCTTTGCACATTGAGGACAATGCACAGATTAAGTTTGGGGGTGTTTTAGCATGTTGCACTTTATTTTCTATGTATGTGATTTGATTTGAGAGCTTAGTGATGATTTTGATCTTTTGAGGCCCATGTTACTTAGAATTTAAAAATTACTTGACCTGTGAGTTCAATACTCTTTGTATGCCTTTAAGATTTGATATTTTGCTTGCTTTTGTGGTCCACATCATTTTGTTTGTGAGATTGTTTTGAGATTCACTCTATAGTTATACACTTGCACATGCGCACACTAGTATTCATTTGTGGGGTACATGCTTAGTTGATCATTGATTTGGTTATATCTCAGTTGAGCTAGTATTACTTTGAAAGATTTCATTCTTGACAAGATGAATAACAAACCTTTTCTATTAAGTAGCCGGGATTCTAGCCTCATCAAGTGTTGAATTCTCGCGTCGAAAGGTAGAGGGCCCAAACTCTAGGTTTAAAAAAAAAAAAAATAGAATAAAAAAATATATATATTAAAAAAAGTGAGGACTTCTTGCCAAAGGTGAGGAGTAGGGAAATGATTAGATGAGAGTTGTTTTGATTTGTAACCTAGTTGATTCGAGCTTGTAAGTCCTTAGTGGTGTCTTTACACCTAATGCCCTAAAGCCGTCCGGTTTGGGAGTCATTGACCTAATGCTTGTTATATGGATCTTCTAGAGAGCTTAAGAGATCATTACATTGCACTATGCTTCCATCTTTGATTCCAGGGAAAAAAAAAAAAAATAATAAAGTGTGAAAGAATAAGTGCACCTAGTTGAATAAATCTTAATTATAGGTTTATTTTTTGTCTTGATAGTCGGTACTAGATTTGTGTGCTTGCTTGAGACTGGTTGTGCCCATTTCATTGATTTGCTAAGATAGCAACATATTTGATGTCGGTTCATTCAAAAGGATTCTAAAGTTTTTTTTTTGTTAATTTGCATGATCATCTTACTTGATGTGTAGAGGAACATACTTGCTTGCTTGTTGTTAAAATTTTGGGAAATTGCTTAGAGATGGTTGAAAAATGCATATTTGAGGTAGTTTTTTTTTAATACTTGTTTGGAATGTTGGTGCCTCTTAAGTGAGAAAGAGCTTAATGTTTGTGGGTATTATTTCTGGAAACCCTCACGAAACTTCACTCATCTAGTAGGGGTAACCTAAGGGTTTAAAAGGTTTGTTACATATGCTAACTGTAATCGTGATCCTACGAAAGTGACGTTATCCTTTTATTACTTTCTAGTCATAGTTGTTTAGTTATTCATTTCTTTCTTTGTAGGGACTAGCAATATCTAAGTTTGGGGGTGTGATAAATGTTCAAATGTTGCACATTTTAGCACCTAAGTTAGGGTATCTTAGTCTATTCATCTATTTTACTTTTCCGTTTTAGTTCTAATTTGTGTTTTTGTCTATTTCAGGTCAATAAGGTTCAAACGGGATAAAAATAGCTTATTAAACCCTTTTTGGAGTCAAGAAGAAGTTCCAAAAAAAGTCAAAAAAAGTGCATTGGAGCAGTGGCGATCGATTGCAGGACACATGATCCATCGCAAATGACTTCAGCAAAGGGATAGACTGCCACCTTATCAATCGTCCAAAATGGTGATCGATCGCAAAATTTGGCAATCCATCGTAGTGCAACATCAACGCCAGCTAGGAGGATAAGGTTGTTAGTTGTCAAGATAAGCATGCCACGTCATCCACTATCGATCGCAGAGGTTGGTGATCGATCATAGAAGTTGGCGATCGATCGCCATCCTGCTAGAAGTGAGCTATTTAATTCCTGAGTATGTCCGAACTCAACTTAACTTTTGGCTGCAAGATTGGACCAATTAGAAGGCCATTTTCTGACTTGTTCACCACACAAAGGAGTTTGTATTTAAATCAAATTAAACCATTTGTTAAGGGTTCCAGATTTTGTTACACAATTTTCACAACTTTTAGCCAGTTTTAGATAGTTTCTCTCTAGAGATTAGGGTTTTTGAGCAAGAGAAGGGGTAAGAAAAGAGGAAGAAGACGAAGCTAAACTTGAAGATAGCCTTTGAGATAAAATGTGTAGTATGAATTGTATTTGGAGAATGTTTACTTGACTGTATAGTAAAATATCAGCATGTTTAAGATTTAGTTTGTATAGGATATGTGATGTAGGAAGCTTAAATAAATTATAAGTCATTCATATTTTGTGATAACATGATATTATATTATTATGTTTATTTTTGAATTATTTGATGTACTTCCTTAATTGTTACATCAATTATTGGATTGTGTAGATGTAGTGCACCAGTATGGGATGGCGACACTCTAAGGATGGATTAGCTTATCAGTTAAGTCCTACCTATTTTATAAAGGTGTTAAGTCTTACTTATATTTGTGTCTGGTCAACTGAACAAGTTGGATGATACATAATGGATTACTTTAGATTGGATAGGATATTATATATATATATATATATATATATAGACACGTGCCATAATATGAGCTTGAGCATCAGAATCAGTGGATAGGGTGCGTATATTGCCAGGGATGTGTAGCTAGATATAGTGTAGTTGTGTGCCTTAGTAGGTCTAGGTACTCATGCCGACTATATGTGTGTTTTGTATGTTACCTACTATTTAGGTTGAGGCAACCCTATAATCTAGTGAGGTTCCTTTAATGTGTATATGTATTATAGATTATATAGTTATTGCATGGGTTAGTTATAGATATATAGTTTCTCTGGTCTCTGTTTGAGTTGTCGTAGAAAGAACTTGTTCGTGGGCCTGACCAACTATTATTTTTCAGGTGTTCGTTAGTTTCAGACATAGAGTTTGTTCATGCTGAGCAGAGACAGTCCATATTACTCTTCCGATTTTACGTAGGATTCTCTTCATGTTTTAATTTTGGGATTATTTTTCTTTTTAGTTTTCAGTTGGGATATCAGTAGGGGTCCACAGATGGATTCCCGAGTTGTAATGATATTAAAGGTTTTGGATTTTTCATTTGGAGGATTTTTTTTTTTTTTTTTTTTTTTTTTTTTTTTTTTTTTTTGCTGTCTTATTTATTCTTAGTTATTTTTTTTTGTAGTCAAATGCTTGTTTATATACTTAATTGTTTGGTATCCCTCGGATTTGTGCTCGGACTTGATCATCCGTGACTCTAGAAACGAGGGGTATCACAGTTGGTATCAGAGCACTCCAGGTTCAAGTATCTTTAGGGATCTATCGTTTTAAGACTTCCGCGTAGCGTATTCTTTTATGTAGAGCCTAAGTTTAGGATTCATTGTATTCCTTTACGGTATGCTTAAATCATACTGATATCTGTTTTTCTATATTAACAGAATCGTTAACGCTAGAAGAAGACAGGACAATCAGAGAAATAGGCAGCGAAGAGGAGCGGCATGTAAGCAGTAGGATTTCCTATGGCGTCAGCAAATGGAGGAAGAATAACAGCTGCCTGGGTTTCAGGAGGAAGGATAGTATTCTTGGAAGAAGCACAAGGGTGGTTCGGATGCTCACAGAGATGGGGCACCTATTCTGAGGCAGCAGAATGGGGACCATAGGCAGGATGGGGTCAGCCACAGGCTAACCAACAGAGGAGGAAATTTGGCACTTTCTAGGGTAGTTGCTATACTTGTGAAGAGTTTGGTTATACTTCTAGGCAGTGTCCTAAAGCAGAACAGGGGCAGAGACAACATGTGCAGCAGGGACAGAGGGCAACATTATCTTTACCCGCTCCACAGATTCCACGGATTCAGGGACAGACGTATCCGGCTTTATTAGCACTGCCACAACCTCAAGGATAGGCACCGCAGTAGTTGCATTATGGCAGGGTGTATAACCCCATGCTACAGGATGTTTAGGCGCCTTAGGTTGTTGAGGGTATGTTTCCTATTCATAGTAGATCTAGTCATGTTTTATTTGATACGGGTGCCACACATTCATTCGTGTCTAGTACTTTTGTTTCTTTATCTGGGATGATGACGCGAGTATGTGATAGACCTCATGGTATTTCTACACCTATGGGCGATACAACTATTTTACATGAGAGTGATGGACTTATGACACTAGAAATTGGTAGGCTTCAATTTCTAGCCAATATATTGGTCCTGGACATTCACACTTATGACGTGATACTTGGAATGGATTGGTTATCTCATTACCATGCCCAAGTTAATTATTATGATAGGTCTATTATTTTCACTGTACCTGGTTAGGATATATATGTCGTTGCTATGCCGCATTCTAACGGGGTTTCTAGCACTTATTTGTTTTATATGGAGGAGGAGACCAGGGAGGAGGTTACAGTGTCACTGGATAGTATACCAGTTGTACATGAATTTTCAGATGTTTTTCAAGAGATTCCAGGGTTGTCACCTAGTCGAGAGATAGACTTTATTATTGATTTAGCTCCAGGCACTACACCTATTGCTAGGGCACCATACAGGATGGCACTAGTAGAGATGCGCGAGCTGAGGGATCAGATTCAGCAATTGCTCAGTCAGGGTTTTATTCGTAGGAGTACTTCACCTTGGGGAGCGCCAGTTTTGTTTGTGAAGCAAAAAGATAGTTCACTTCACCTGTGTATAGATTACAGGGAGTTGAATAAGGTTACTATTCATAACAAGTATCTTTTGCCCAGGATCGATGATCTTTTTTATTAGCTGAAGGGAGCTATATAAATCTATAAGATTGATTTGCGTTTTGGATATCATTAACTTCGGGTTAGGGAGCAGGATGTACTTAGGACAATGTTTCTCACTAGATATGGTTCTTATGAGTTTCGTGTCATGCCTTTTGGATTGACCAACACACCAGCAGTCTTCATGAATTTAATGAACAGAGTCTTTAGGGCTTACTTAGATCAGTTTGTCATCGTATTCATTGATGATATTTTGGTCTATTCTAAGACAGAGGACGATCATGCTAGACATCTTCGTACAGTGTTACAAACGCTTCGTGAACACCAGTTAGATGCCAAATTCAAGAAGTGTGAATTTTGGTAACGAGAAGTGAAGTTTCTGGGTCATGTAGTGTCAGAGAAGGGGATAGCGGTGGATCAATCCAAGGTTTCAGTAGTGGTAGAGTGGGGATAGCCTATTTCACCTACAGAGATTCTGAGTTTTCGGGGACTGGTATGATACTATCGTAGATTCATTCAGGGGTTCTTGAAGATAGCGAGACCAGTCACTCATTTGACTAAGAAGGATGTATGGTTCGTATAGGATGAACATTGTTAGAAAGCTTTTGATGAGCTAAAGAATAAGTTGACTTCTGCACCGGTTCTGTCTACTCCACAGAGCGGGATAAAGTATCTTGTCTACATAGATACTTCTTTGCAAGGTCTTAGGTGTGTTTTGATGTAGGAGGAGCGACCAATTTCGTATGGATCTCGTAAGCTTAAGCCTTATGAGCTTAATTATCCAACACACGATTTGGAGTTGGCAGCTGTGGTTTTTATCTTACGTATTTGAAGGCATTATCTGTTGGGAAAATCTTTTAGATTATTAGTGATCACAAGAGTTTGCAATATTTGTTCACTCAGCGTGAGCTGAATATGAGACAACGCAGATGGTTAGAGTTCTTGAAAAATTATTATTTTTCTATACAGTACCATCCAGGGAAAACGAATGTAGTGGTAGATGCACTCAATCGCCAACCATCTGCGAGTTTTTCTGCAATATTCGCTATTGAATGGAATGCTTTGAAGACCATTGATGAGTTATCCGATGTTTTTATGGCGTGCATGGTAGTTACACCTTCGATCATTCATAAGGTATTGAAGGCACAACTCACAGATCAACAGTGCATCGATAAGGTTGCAGAGATAACTTCTGGGGATGTTTCATTCTATCATGTTGGGACTGATGAAGGCTTGAGATACAAGGGGTGGTTGGTAGTTCCTTATGCTGATGAGTTGAGGAAGGACGTGATGACTGAGACTCATCGTTCTGAGTTTTCTATTCATCCAGGAGGAGACAAAATGTATCAGGATATGAAGCGGCAGTTTGGTGGGCAGGTATGAAGAAGGACATTGCTATTTTTGCCTCTTAATGTAGTACTTGTTAGATGGTCAAGATTGATCATCAAAGACCGCCAGGTTCTTTACAGCCACTACCTATACCAGAGTGGAAATAAGAGAGCATTTCTATGGATTTTGTTAAGGGATTGCCTAATTCATTTAAGGATCACAATTCCATTTGGGTCATCGTTGATAGGTTGACCAAATCAGTTCATTTCTTGCCTATTCGCACTGATTACACTTTAAAATAGTTGGCGAGACTTTACATAACAGAGATTGTGAAGTTGCATGCCATACCATTATCTATTATATCGGATAGAGATTTGAGCTTTGTATCCGGATTCTGGAAGAGTTTTCAGCAGGCTTTAGGTACCGAGTTGCATCTTATTTATTCTTAGTTATTTCTTTTGTAATCAAATGCTTGTTTATATACTTAATTGTTTGATATCTTTCGGATCTGTGCTCGGACTTGATCACCCGTGACTCTAGAAAGCTAGGCAAAGGAGCAG